AAAAGAAAAAGAAAAAGACTATTGTAATCGTTCATTTGAGATAGTTTTGTGACAGTGGAGATGAAAAGAAATGGATCGATGTAAGGTATAAGGGAAATAATCCCCACACTCTCCAACCCTGAAATACACACATAATAGGCCTGCCACAGTTTTCCCTTTCTCTATAAAACGTGCTGCTCACACTCATGGCACCCTGAATGCTTGTGACTAGTAGCATCCTTTTTAGGACACCTAGGTATTCCTATTCCCCCCAAGAGAGATGGATGATTACCACGATTTTGTTTTGTTTCCAAATTTATGCATATCAGCTGTATTTTAAAAATTTTAAATGTTTATTAATAGTATATGAACAATACTACTTGAGTAGACTGGAGCCAAACTTTCTGCTGGGTATGGTCTTCTATCTTTTAAGAAAGTAACTAAAATGTGCTAGAATTCTGCTTTTTGACAATCTTTGTCCTCCTTTTTGGCCCTCACATCTCTATAGTTTACCAAGCTTACCTCTATGAATTTACCATGAATATCTGTGCCACATTAACCACAGTGATGCACAGTCATAATGTGGTTTGCTGGAAAGACTCTCAGAAGTTAAGGCACCTTTGATTAGTCTAAAAGACATTTTGCTCTCCTTTGGCTTTCAAGAGAAACAACTTTTCTCCTTCGCTAACAAAATGTAAACTATTTTCCCAGACAGATGTTTCTTGTTTCACACAGATTATCCTGTAGAAAGAGCCATATCTGAACTCCTTGAAGGGATCATGTGTTTCTTAACAATTTTTATTAAGTTGTGCCAAAACATGTTTGTTGAATGAACAAATAAAGGAATAAACTAATCTTTGGAATTGAGAAACATCTTTGTAAACATTTAACGATGCTATATGCATACTCTACTGTTACGGACTGTTTATGTCTCCTCCCCAATTTTATGTTAAAGCACTAACCTCCAGTGTGACTGTATTGTAGATAGGGCCACTAAGGAGATAAATAAGTAAGGTTAAATGAAGTAATAAGGGTGGGTCCCTGATCTGATAGGAACCATCTAATTATAAGAAACACAAAAATGTTTGTTCAACGCTTCACTCACACAAAGAATAGATTATTTGAATGCACAGTAAAATGTTGGTGGCCTACAAGCTAGGAGAAGACAGTTCAAAATGAAACTTACCTTGCCATCACCTTGATCTTGGACTTCCCAATCTTTAGAACTATGAGAAAATAGATTTCTGTTGTATAATCCACCCAGAATGTGGCATTTTGTTATAGCCATCTGAGTAAACTAATACACATACACACACACACACACACACACACACACACAGAAAATACAATAGACTGCTTTCTGTTTCATACATATTTTGT